AGAAGACTTCGTAGTCTATTGTGATGCATCGAACCAAGGGCTCGGGTGTGTTCTGATGCAGCGAGGTAAGGTCATCGCCTACGCCTCCAGACAGTTGAAGACACACGAAGTTAACTACACGACCCACGATCTTGAACTAGGAGCAGTGGTGTTTGCTCTGAAGATCTGGAGACATTACTTGTACGGGACGAAAAGCACTATCTTTACCGACCACAAGAGTTTTCAACACATATTCGATCAGAAGGAGCTCAACATGAGACAACGACGGTGGGTCGAGGTACTTAGTGACTACGAATGCGATATTCGTTATCATCCGGGTAAAGCCAACATAGTAGCAGACGCCCTAAGTCGGAAGGAATATTCTGGTCGCAGAGTCAAGTCATTGTCAATAACCATCCATTCACACTTGTCTAAGCAAATTCAGGTAGCCCAACTTGAAGCCATGAAACCTGAAAATGTGACGAGTGAATCCCTTAGAGGAATGGACAAGAATTTAGAAGCCAAGGGTGACGGAGCCTTGTATTTTATGAATCGGATCTGGACACCGAAGCACACTGGTTTCCGAGACTTGGTCATGACCGAGGCGCACAACACTCAGTATTCCATCCACCCAGGTTCAGATAAGATGTATCTGGATCTTAAAAAGCTATACTGGTGGCCTAATATGAAAGCAGAGATTGCTACCTTCGTAAGTAAATGCCTTACTTGCGCAAAGGTTAAGGTCGAGTACCAGAAGCCCTCCGGTTTACTGCAACAACCAGAGATTCCAGAATGGAAGCGGGAACGGATCACTATGGATTTCATAACCAAGTTGCCCAAGACAACGGGTGGACTTGATACCATATGGGTCATCGTCGATAGATTGACCAAGTCTGCACACTTCCTACCTATCAAAGAAACCGACAAGATGGAGAAACTTACGAGAACATACATTAGGGAAATCGTACGGATACATGGTGTGCCTATATCCATTATCTCCGATAGAGATAGTAGGTTCACCTCATGATTCTGGCAATCATTACAACATTCCTTGGGAACAAGGCTAGACATAAGCACAGCCTACCATCCACAGACCGGCGGACAAAGTGAGAGAACAATCCAGACTTTAGAAGATATGTTGCGTGCTTGTGTAATTGACTTTGGAAAAGCGTGGGATACCCATTTACCCCTCGTCAAATTTTCCTACAACAACAGTTATCACACGAGCATAAAGGCAACACCATTTGAAGCCCTCTACGGCCGAAAGTGCAGATCCCCTCTATGCTGGGCTGAAGTGGGTGATACCCAATTAGCCAGGGGGCAAGCTTCTAACAGTACTCTCACCGGTCCAGAGATCATTCGGGAAACGACAGAGAAAATCGTTCAGATCCGTGAACGATTGAAAGCCTCTAGAGACCGACATAAGAGCTACACTGATAAGCGAAGAAAACCATTGGAATTTCAGGTGGGAGACCGAGTCCTTCTCAAAGTCTCACCCTGGAAGGGCTTGATACGCTTCGGTAAGCGTGGGAAGCTTAATCCGAGGTACATAGGGCCTTTCGAGATTCTCGCAAGAGTCAGCCCAGTAGCTTACAAACTCGACCTACCTGACACACTTCGTAACGTACATTCTACATTCCACGTATCTAACTTGAAAAAGTGTCTGTCCGACGAGATTCTTGTAATCCCACTCGACAAGATCGAGATCAACAAGAGCCTCAACTTCGTGGAAGAACCTATAGAGATCATGGACCATGAGGTCAAGCAGACAAAACAAAGCCGTATCCCGATTGTGAAGGTTCGCTGGAACGCCAAGCGAGGACCGGAATTCACTTGGGAACGCGAGGATCAGATGAAACTGAAATACCCTCATCTTTTCGCTTAGTTATTTGTAACTTCCAATTTGCTTAAATTCTAATTTCGGGACGAAATGCCTTTTAACGGGGGCATGATGTGACAACCTGAAATTTCCATTCTACACAAACAGTATCACTTTAATAGAAGTTATAACAGTCATAGTCGATAATCAGACTTTTCGGATAAGTTGGAGCAATTTAGGGTTTACACTTCAGTAAATATCAGGAGAGTGGATGCACTACGGTTTTGTGCAACACTATTATTCCAACACCCTGTTATATTAGAAATCAACTCCGGAATAAAAATATTTTTTGCCAAAAATATTTCAAGACTATAAAAAGATTTCTGAACCAAATTCATTCATTATTCACATTTCCAACTAGAGAAAAGCCATTTTATCTCTCACGGAAACACCAAGTAAGGGCACCAAAGTGTACCTAGGGTCCCCTTTAGCCTTAAACAAAAGCCTAGAAGTTATCCTACTTGTGCAAGAGACTTGAAAGAATTAAAACACCCATCCCTTGAGAGTTTACGGTTGTAAACTCCAAAAGAAATGGTCTTTTGCCCGTAAACTCCTCAAAGGAGTATTTTAAGGCCTTAAACTACCCAAAGGATTAAACCACCAAGCAAGGCTTATTCTAGAAATCAAACAACACTTCAAAACACCAACAACTACCATGATTGGAGTTCACGGCCGTAAACTCAAGGGTTTACGACCGTAAACTCCTTGTGTGGAGTTTATTGAGTAGTAAACACTTATACAAGGTCCTTGGAAGCTTTAAACCCCTTTAGCCTTGTCCCATAACAACCTAGAAGCAACCCATAGGACCTATAACACTTATACAAAGTGTTTACATGTTCCTGAGTGTCCCAACTTATTTTATTAAGTTATTATTGGGCTAATTAGTTATATATATGCTCATTATATGATAACTAGGCTCGTGCGTGTGAACAAGTCTCCGTTTGCCACCAAGCACGGTATCCGATACTTCAATCCAATCCACTCACCACAAGTGAGTTCAGACCCCTTTAATTAACCTTTGAAATGCTTTTAAATGTTTTAAATACTTTATGGGGGGGGGGGAATACAAGTTAAATACCTATAGTTATTACATCAATCACATGTGATTACATTAATCACATGCGATTAATAACTAGAAAACCAATGATTTTATCACCGTTCAAACTGTTTATCAAACTATTTTACTTCAAAATGTTTTACAAACTCTTTTACTTATCAAATGCTTTTATTAAACTTTGTTTTACTTCTTATAAATTCCATGCCTATATATGTATAGATATATAAGAAATGTTTAAAGGGCTTAGGAAGGCCATCCACCCTATTTCCTTTTCGCGCTTGAGATGTGGTCTGGTGAGATTTCGGGTAGTCGTCCGAAGGTCGTTTCAATATTAGTTATATATCAAATATACATGTATAGACATAAAAGTACTTCCATATTCATACTTATCAGTACATCATCAATAAGTTACCATCGGGGTAACATAGGATCATACTACTACGATTTCTAGATAAATGAGTCAGTTCATTCATGAGTCAATACTTATTACCACGAGTACTTATACAACTATACTAGAAAGAGAACATATACAACTATACTAGAGGAAGAGCATATACAATTATACTAGAACAATTCATTACATTACATATACAAGAACACGTTAACAATTGTGATCCACTGTACCGGAGCATGCCTTAATTGTCATGGCCCGAGTTGTAGCCAGAATTCTCTTGGAGGGAGAGCATGAGTTTGCGTATAGATCTATACTGGATTAACTATCCTACACCTTGCTGCTAGCTACAGCCGGACCTGCAGGTCTGCGGGTGCCAAACATCATTCCGTTATTACGACCATTCGTATGTCGTTGTTACCAGTTGATAGTATGGTGCAATTTATCACATGATACCTTAATATAAATCCGGTTTAAGGTAGTTAGTACAGCAGTAGTTCCTATAATACAATACTACAATAATTTACCCATTACATACTTTTAGTGATTGTTTCACTTAAACTTTAATGTACAAACTATATTTTTTAAATGATAGTTACACTTGGGAAATTACACACTTTTACAACAAACGAGCATACAAAACAGTTAAGCCTTGGAAGAAGGCTACTTTAATAGAAAATATAGGTTTTTCTGAGAGATTCAAACTTGTACAAACAATTACAAACACTTACTTACATTTTACAAACTTACACTTGATACATGTTCAAACGTTTTTGGATGACAAATACCGACACTAAAATACTTATGAACTCACCAGCTTAATGCTGATAAACTCTTTCAAAATAACTTGTATTCTCAGGTCATCAGTAGATAGGTACCGAGGCCAACTTTTGAGAAGATGGAGCGCATCCAAGACTCATCTTATTATTTTGATTTACAGTATTTTTGGTGTCTATAACTGTACAGAACACGCTTGTATTAAAATTATATATTTAATGCGATGGATGATGTTGTTTGCTTATTTACATTTACTGTGTTGTGATACTTTACATGACGTCCTCCGCCCTAGAACGTTTCCGCCGTTCTTGGTTTTGGGGTGTGACATCTTCACTACTCTCTGAATCATCATCACTACTTGCATCTACATCAGCTATGTTGGATGATTTTTTTGGAATACTTTCATTAAATTCAACCCCATAGAAAGGGTCAAAATCTTCTAACATTTCCTCTTCTACACTATATTTGTTTTCAAAAGGGACTTCATTTGATTGGTGTTGCTTATTCATAGCAGTACACCCCTCTTCTACACCCTTATTTACAATAGGTTGCCCCTCCTCTACACCTTCATTCACTAATTTTTCAACCATTTCTAAGTCAGCAGTGGCAATCACAAGGTCAACTTGATCGCCTTCAACAACACTTATTCCTCTTTTGTCTACCCAATCAAAGCAAAGCTTTTTGCTAAATGATGAGCTACCTTGGATAGGTTTCCAACCTCTGCCCCTACTCAACTCAGGTGTGAAAGACCTATACCTTGCCAAGGTCAACCCTACTTTACCCTTACAAACTTCAAATTCCACTAAGTTAGGACCAACAATAGGGGATATGGGCTGAGGTGGTTCATCATCTTCTATCTCTTCTATTATAACCCTTCTAGGACCATTTGGGGACATGAAATAGGTAAATAACGTTGTTTATCCATGCTCCGTGTACACTTTTATCAGTTTATTCGCACTCACATATTTTGATAGGCTATGTACATCATCATCATTACCTAGAGCTGTTAGTCCAAAATCCAAACCTTCGTTAGGCAAACGGAAATGGTAGTAGATGATAGGTGGAACAACATACCCTAAATCTAACATGATGGAGTACATTTCGTGTACTGAGAATTCTTCTATATCGACCACGTCAATGTATGCTACAACTCGTTCAATATACTTGATGCCTAGAAACTTTGTGAACTTCCCACCATGATGAAGTTCAATACTGAACATGGTGGGATGTCCAGCTTAAAAAACAAAACAAAAAAAGATTTTTAGATTTCAAAAGTGTAAGAACGTGATCAAATATAGAGCATCTTACCATAAATTTGGTTGGGATCAATTTCTTCACCATGTGCTCTGATGGACCACATTGTAAGAACCATTTGCGAAATTTCAACAACAGATTGAAGCTCGGTCAGGAAAAGGGTTTGTGATTAGGGTTTTTTTTTATTTTCACGTCGTCAAAGGTGGGTGAAGGAATAGG